CCTTCCAGCCATTAAGGATAAGCCACATGAATGTTGATGATTGATATCTACTTTTTCTGTAAAGTCTGAAAAATACATCTTCAGGTTAAACATCAGTTACTGATGATTTGTTTATGATAACAACAACTAAATCATGATTAACTAACAGTCAGATAAACTAACTATTAAATCTGGAAAAAAACATAATAGTTTTATAGTATTGTGTAAGTGCTGTCCTATGATGATCTCCAAAAGACGTACACAATAGTAACAATACTGTGATCAAAATGTTGGTGGTGCTTGGCCCCATGTAGAATCTACAGAGACATTACCATCTGTGACTATGATATAAATTAGTTTTAGATAGAACAAGAGCCACAGAACTCTGGACATCATCAGTCCAAATTATTACTGTAGTAGACTCTCTAGTACTTAATTGATACTAATCTACTCTTAATGAACACTTGTCAATATTTCACCAAGCAGTGATACACAGATGCAAAAAAGATACCATTATGATATATTTGATTTGCATTTCAAATGACAACAGTAGGTAAAATTTAACACCGAATTTCCTAACTCCTGTCAAGGGTATAATTTAAATATTTTCCTAAAACAAAGATAATGACTTTTTATCAACAACAACAACACTTAATTCACTAACCTTGCAAAACTGTTGTTGGGAGCCAATGAACATAAGTTCAGTCTTGTCACATTTGCATGCAGTGAAACCCAAAACCATGATGGCAAATAATCTGATCAAGAAGCAACATCTAACTAACAAAAAGAAGGTTACAAAACAGAACCCTGTGGAACACCCCGAACAGGTGGAATAACATTAGATTTCAAGTAGACAAGAATAATGTGTTGACTCTTGTTTGCCAGTTAAACTCCAAATCATCGAAGGGACAAACTGTACCAGTCATTCCTAATTTTCTATGAGCTTCAGTAGGATACCAATATTGTCAGTATCAAAGCTTCACTTACATCCACAAGGAGAATAAAATTAAATGACCAGAGTTAGAAACCATCAGCAAATCATTAACTACTTTCCAAGGGCTATTTCATTGTCTGAACCCCCACACTTCAAGTTCAAAGGGCTCATTAGAAGCAAGATGAGATTGTAATTGTGTTGCCAGTGCCCTTTCCAGAATTTTTGTAAGTAAAGGCATATTAGAAAAAAGGACACTAGTTGTTAAGTACTTCAGGGTCCAGTCCAGATGTTTTTTAATACACATGTGATTGCGTCAGACTTTAGGCCTACAGGTATAAGTCAGATTTCAGGGACTCAATGAGGTTGGTAAGAAATGTTTCCTATAAATGTGATTTAGTTACAACTTCTTAGTTTCTATGCCAATGTGTCCATCTTACACTTTTAATTTTTTGTTTTTTAGAAAATCTAACATTTTTTAAACCAAATACTAAATCATATTTCCTGCACACAAAACATAGTATTTACTAATTATTATGAGCAGTTACTAATGATAGAAAATTAAATTCATTTAATGTATTTATTGGATTTGTATTGCATTGCATAATGTATTTATCAATTATGTATTTATATAGTTGGTTTATGCTTTTGCTAACTCAAATGTGTTTGCAAAGTCAGGCTTGAGACATTTCTGTGCAATCTATTGAAGATTATAGGAGTTTTTATGGGTCCTTCACAAATGTGCAATCCTTCACAAAGATGGATCTAATTAGATGCAATGATTTATGGCGGGGAGGTCACAGCCTAATATTGCCTGTAATTTTTCTTGTTTGATTCATCAGTTGGCAGTCACTGAGTATGTCAGAACTTTCAATGACTTTCTATATGCAATTTCTACAACTTGAAGTGAGAAACCAGAGAATTCAATTTTTGCCCAAACTTTTAGGTCAAAGTGCCTTTTTAATACTCTTGTGTTTTGTTTTGCTGTCTGAACAACAGCTAGGGATTGATTTATAATATTGTTCACAGGGTGGATAAATGAGATTTAGCTTTTTTGTGCCAATTAAATATGACTGACCTAGGTCTTTCACAAAGCCAAGTATAACTTTAAACACTACTTACATGTGTAAGTAATTTGTAATTTGTGCCCCAGTGTTTGAAATTTTTCCTTGCGGGTAACAAAGCATGCACTAACAAAGTGAGGATTTTTTTTTTTATTGTAGCTGTGCAGACCAACTCAGGGTGCCACTCCAAAGTCATGCCCTGGGGTGACGTGATCTTTTTCAGCATAGCTTTGCTTACCTCTGTAGTTGGATTTTGATTTTTAATATTATTTTCCCCCCATACTGTTCTGAATCTGATCCCCTCGAAAGAGCTACTCTAGTTAAAAGGATAGGCTAGTAAAGCTTCTTTTACTACTTATTCCTTGTTATCTCAGTATTTTCTTCCCAAGGCAAGATTTTCACTGGGACTTTTCACTGCGAAGATGACAACTGGCAAAACTGAGACATCCAAGGGGATGCTGGCTGAAGTCTCAGCCTCTTCTGGAATTTGAGATGGCAGTCTTCAGTATTCCACTGAAGAGCTTAACTGATTTGATATGCAGACTGCTGACAGATACCTCTCAAACCTGCACTAAAAATAAATAATAAAAGTTTTGTTTTAAATAACAGTGGACAAAAATTTTCTTCAATGCAGGAGTTCTGACCTGAACTATTTAATCAGATTTCCCTTTTCCCCACTTTCAAAACTGAACTTTATTATAATGATCTGAGGTTAATGCTTTGGGAAATTCAGCTGCCCTTATACCTTTAACATGCATTATTTGTCGCATACATTTTCAAGTATGACTTTGTGATTCTGTAGCAGTTTTCTATACTTGATGTTGTATTCATATCATGTCTTATTGCAATACATATATATATAAAAACTGTTATTTCTTCCTAATCATTTTTTATTTCCTAATTATTTCTTTTCCATTTAGAATCAAATGCAGTATTCCATGAATATTATTTTAACAATATTGTATTTTATGTGTTTATGTATATGTATTACACATAGATAGTGTCACATGGACTATTCTTTTCAGAAATTATCAGTACTGTCAAATGAATGTTCAAATGAATTAAAATGAGATTGGTGTTGTCTAACAACTCATATTTATGCATGATGCAAAGTAACACTTTAGACAGCCCCTAGGTTGGTAAAAGAAAATGTCTGTTTGCCCTTTTAGTGTCAAATTTACAGTATTAATAACTACATTTTGAAGCTGTCAGATGAAGTGAAAAATCTTCATTCTACACTGCCCTTTGGGCCATACCAAGAATAGATGCGTGTCTTTAATAAACAGTATTTTCAAGTATTCATTTTTATAAATAATTAGTCTAGTGAAACAATAAGGTGGTATATTGTATGCAAACAGTGTTGCAAATGTACATACTGCAAACTTTCTATTAATCAACAGTCAAGTACTGTAAGTTGGGCCTCATACATAATGAATTATGTTTAAACCTCATGGGTTTCATTGATAGAAAAAAAAACAGGAGAAAACACAAGTGCAGCCAGCATTTGAATAAAATTTAACCTGATAGCTCTGCATATTGTAATTGTTTTTTAATCATTAGGGACTAAATTATTCATCTACAGTTTGGGAGTTTTTTTCCAGTTTGGGAGTTTTTTTCTAATTTAACTGTCAAAGAAGAGGTTTTACAAAACATTAAGTTGTGATATATTAAGAGTATATTAATAAAATGTGTAAGAAAAAAATAAATAGGTTTACGCTGGCTTACAAAATGCAGTCCAAAACATGTAACACAGGATTTGACTGCTATTATAAACTTAATGCATCCTGAGAAGGAAGCTTGTTTTTATTAAAGTAAACTTTCAAGTTAATCATTAAATTAAAAGCATTGCATTTATTTACTTCACTCCCCAAGATGAAATCATAGCCTATGCTGCATGTTACCGTTACTATAAATGATAATATAGCATAATATGTATTATTTTAATACATATTTGAACTCCCATAGTTCAAGGGACCTTGGGATTTAAGGAAAATCACATGGACATTATCTGAAGTCATCAACAATGAGCATTAGGCTGAAATAATTTTTGCCTTATTTACCTCCTCTGTCCTTTGTGTGCGCTGGTGTACTGCTTAAGTGTGTATAATAATGTCTTTTGGTTCCTGTTATTTTTTATACTTTAAATCAATCAACAGTAACTCCCCCCACTCACCCACCACCCCTGCCGACACACACAAAAAACATATGTGCTCTCAAATTTCCACTGATCTCTTGTTCACACAAAAGGCTTGTAAAACCAGTTATAAATTTCTGGTCCCAAAAATGTATCCAGATTCACTTTTCAGACTCTTATCCTACTGGATCTTGTCTGTCTCAGTGTGCTTAGATTGTCATCAGCAGAGGAAGTTAAAATGGTATGTCGAGGTGTTGAAACCTTGCTATTTTCCTAGCCAGTGGTCATGAATGGCAGCCTCAATGTGTCCCCTCACCACTTCAGTCAGACCTCAAGGGCTCTTACTAGGCTACCATTTTGATTCTAAAAATTCAGAATTAAAATTGTATTATTACATAATTCTGTATAGTATATGGTGTATTAATATATGATTTTAATGTAAGGAATATTTAGTCTTATATAAAAATGGGATAAAATTGATTTATCACTGCACATGAGAAAAAAATCTTACTACTGTGTGCTGGAACAAAATTTGCATAACTTGGCAAAAAGTGATGTACTCTAATGCTGACTGCCGGCACTTCTCACACACCTAGTTAGAATTCACCAGTTGCCATTTTTACTATAGTAAATATTAATGCATTAATAACTGCTGGAGTTACTTAAGCATCTTGCTGTTGTCAGAATACCTGTGTAAGAACAAAAAAATAACAGATATTTACTGCAGCTCTCAAAAGACCAGCAAAATAAAATCAGGACTCACTGCTGTTTGGTTTGAATGTAAGGATGTATGAATTAAATGTTCTTCATCCACATAAAGCTTTTGATGCAATAAAGTTTGCAGAGACATCCTCTAATTGTGATTGCTAAGCAAATGTCATCACTTTTGCAGGAATGAAATGGCATCCTTTGCTTGTGTAGTTTGTGAAGGCCAGGAGGGGATGACAGCCCAATTGCAACTGTGTACAGAGTGGCTCCAAGCCTATTTTTGCAACCCTAGAACAATAGAGAAGCTTCCACTGCCTGCCTTGCATCATCCCATTTTTCAAGAAGGTTTGTAAGAAAAAAATATTTTTCATGTTGAAGTGTTTTGCTTTAGTTTTAACTGTCAGTTACATCATACTCTTCCTTCACTTACTGTGCCATAAGAGTATTTTATAGTGCCTGAAATAAGAGACAGCACATAACATAGAGCAGTTATGAGGGTTAGTAATCTCTCACTGTTCCAAGAGGCTGTGTTAGTTTTGGCCCAGCTTTCCATAATTCTTGGCACAGGTGCTAAAAATGATGCAGTTCAACTCTTGACATTTGTTGGCTGAAAGTTTTAAAAGTGAGCACATCTGAATGACTGTAAAGTTTCAATGAGCCTATTGTTAGCCTGGACTGTCCTTTTGCCAAAACCAGAGGGAAGGAGTCTTAAGAATGGATGATTACTTACATTCCTAGAACAGACTGGTGACAATTAGTCAGCACTAGACAGCCCTTCATTAGTGCTGTATTAAATAAAAGAATTGCTGATTTAAACAAATTATAAGTAATTTGTGTATTGATAGTTTTGTGTGTGTTGGAAGGGGGTAGGATGTGAATGAAATCACCACAGTTTTAAAATGAAATAAACTAGTGAGGCTAATCAAAGAGAAAGAAACCTGAAGTATATATACGGGAAATTCTAGAATCAGAGCTATTCAATAGATTTATATTAATATAAAACTAAGTAGCCAAAAAATTTTAATTTTTAATTGTGTGTTAAGGCATTCTTTAAAGATTTCAGACATTTAACTGAGACACACTGCAAGCTCTGAACTCAAACCTCCATTGAGAAGTCCTTTAAACACCATACAGCACATGTTCTTTGAGGTGTCTTTCTGAATTAGATGATTGAAGATAAACTGCACTGCAGACATACTGTAATTAGATTTATATTTAGAAACATTTGCTTTGCTGATGAAGTATTCTATTTATGGTGTTAATGTGTCATTTTTTACTTTTCTAGATATATACTTTATTGATCCCGTGAGGGAAATTGCAGAAACCTAACTATTATTAATTATAATTCTAACCTCAATTAATAATGCTTACATGAAATTTACAGTGATATTTGAATATCAAACAAAAGATACCAATTTGCCATTTTGCTTAAAATGAAATCAGTGCCTCAGTTATTTAGTTCATTTTAAAACTGTCCCAGTCATATTGAATGTTTTTGTGTTGTAGGGGTGTAGCTGATATAATCCAGTCAATTAGTATTCATAAGTTTATTAAGATGTGTATTAAAAGTAAGTAGTATATCAGAAACACATTTTTTAGTCATCCATTTCCATCAAAAAGACAGATGGCACTGTCACTCCTGAAACATCAGCAGACATCTATATTTAACATTTTTTCCCCATATTAAAAGTTATTTTGAAACTGGGTGGTTTTGCTAAATTATTGGTTTCTCACGCTGCTGGACATGGTGTTTCTATGATGAGATGACAAGTTATCATATTTCCATCTTCCAGCATCTCATCCCTGTCAACAGGAAATTTAAATTTAAGTGATTGGCAGGTACATATTTTACAATTTCAAGTGAGAATGTCTCTGATAGGCAGAGCGATACTACTTTGTTAAATGCTTTTAAAGTCTTTTTACAAGCTTCTGCCCTTCTGTGATTGTACTGAAGTGGAGGTCACACCTAATAATTATTGAACTGCCTTTGACATCTAACGCATTTCATTTTATTCAATAAATAGACATTCAGAATGTCTCAAGATTTTTGTGTGAGTCACACACTTTCGAAGCATTTAGAAAATTCGAGGCTTTTCCAGGATGGACATGATAAGGTATACAGTATGTGTTTTTTAGATTAAAATGAAAAAAAAATATATAAAGGATATGATTTTCCTGATTGAACTGATATTAAATGGTTTTGGCCATACACAACGCATTCCTTAAAATGAAATGTTTTATGCAGGCTTCTGAAAATATTTATGCTCTACTAGTTAAAAATATATGAAGAGGGGGAAAATGGCATTTCGCGAACTGAGATGTCCCTCACTATTTTCACAGGATAATTCAGACTTAGAGCATGCTGGAAAGAATAGATGCTCAAAGGATTTTTTAAACAAAAAAAATCAAGAAGGCAATGTATAAAAGTATCCTTTCACTTCCAAGATGCGTATCTGAGAATAAAAATCTTTTTGATTACCTTAGTGTCATTAGACTATGAATTGCTTCTTTGAAAATAATAACTGTGGAGGAGCCAAATCATTTTAAAAGAAAATAACAAAATGGTTTAAGCTACTTAGGTTGAATGCCAATTATATTTTAATATTCAACTGAGCATATTTTACGAAGAAAAAAGGCAGCAGCAACGCATGCATAACTCATTGGCAGCGTCGGCCAGCTGTGCCAGGCTTCTCTTCGAATCACTTTGTGCATTTTAGTAGCATGGTAATTTAGTAGAGAACTACCTGAGTGATGGCATTTTCAATGAGCAGGTAATCTACAGAGAATTTTTATATGGTTATGAGCTCTGTGCTTCAGCCTGGCAACACAAAAATACATCAAGACCAATTACGATATCAACTTTCAGTGTGATACCCTTGCCACGCAAGTGCATGTATTTCTGCCCCAGGCAGTTCAAATTGCATCTAATTTGAAATCTTTGGGGTTTTAATTAAATTTCAGAATATATGGAATTCTTCATTAGTACCTGCTCTGAATAGAAGATTATACTCCTCTCCCTCTCTCGTTAAAGTGGTGGGCTGTTGTAAATAGCAGGTTGAAGAACTGATCATTTGCGGTGGCTGTATATGGGGAACAGACGTAGTAAAATGCAAAATATTATCAAAAAGATTATTAGTCCGGTGAGGGATTCTTGATTTGTATTTTAATGGAATCTTACATTTCTCTTAATGATTTGCAAATTGTGCTCTGATTATAAGATGCATTAAGCTTTTCATTTTAATGGCGAGACACAGCCATTAGCTGGGTTTTTTCTGTCGTCTTTATAGAGCGCTTCCCTGCAGCAGCTAAATATTGAAACCATTAACACTTTTTGATGTACTTTCTAGTGTTACAGAATGGACTAGTACAAGAATAAGTGTGCCTTTTATATTTTAGTAGTTTGCTTTAAGCTTCTAATTGTCCTAATACACGGGTGAAAAGATTTTTTTTTTTTGAGCACAGAAAATATTGCACAATTTACAGTTATTTCAATAGGAATCATTGAATTAAAAAAAATCAGTAGTACCTTTTTTTCCAACTGTCATCAGTTTTTCTGCCTAGATTTTCACTTGTTTATGGAAAGCTTAAAGGCTGTCTCTCTAGATTTTGATTGACAAGGTTTCACAGTTAGTATGCAAAATCAAGGGGAGGCAATAATGAACTTGATGTACATGCAGTACCATGTATGTCATGAAGTAACCTCTCCAATCTGTTATGAAAGATGCTGGTACCTATTGAACTTTGCACATGGAGAATAAAGAAACATCAAGTAATAATAGCATAGTTGCAGTACATGTGTGGAATTGGAAAACAGCAATATCATTATCAAGCTTAGAAAACTAATAATAACAGTAAACACAAATTAATTTGTAGATTTGTATTTTAATGTGCAATGAGTTCTGTATTTACTATTTGAAATACTTTTGTTTATTGGGATCAAACAACATTTTAAAAATATAATTTACTACACCTGATTTGTTTATTTTGCCTAGTCATGTAATAGTTTATGTACTTTAAGCCCTCTTTCTGATTTAAATATGTTTAAATTACAATCAAAATAATTACTGCTGTTCTCTTGTATTGCAGTGTTTTGTGAACTGAGAGATAGAACTATTTGATTATTTGCATGAACATCGCTGGGCAAAAACCTCAACACATAATCCATAGTGGTAAAGTATAATTTTGTACTTAGTTACAGTTCACTTTTAGTAGTCCCAGGGGATCTTTAATGACTACATATAGTCAGGGCCCTGGTTTAAGATCTTATTAGAAAGACAGTCCCTTGACGTCCTGCTGTGTCACTGGTTTAGAATTTGCAGTCCAGTGTGAATTGTGCCACCTATTTGGTGTACAAACACAACAGTCAATAGCAAACTGATTTGCTTCAGGATCTCCCATCCAGATCCTGACTAGACCCAGCCTTGCTTAATTTTTTAGATCTAACCAAAGAAGCCTTCAAAGAACTATGAATTCTGTAAATGTTTACAATAAACTACATGCACACTTCATTTCTGCAAAAAAAAAACATTATTTAATTCATATCTTCTGTTTTGCTCTGTAACACAAGTTAAAAAAGGCTATCAAATCCACTATATGAAGAACACACATTTTCAATTTAATCACTGCCAGATGACAGTCTCTAAAACACTGACACTTTCCTCAGTAACATGTTCTCATTATTTCGTTAAACATGGAATCAGAGTCACTGTCACTTTCATCGAGAGTCATAATATTTTTTTCACTTCTAAGACACTGCTCTTTCCCCAGCAAATGCTCAATGCCAATTATGTGTTGACAGCCAGTCACCAATATCTCAACAGTGAAAATGGACAAATTATGCATCATAGAGATACTGTAACTTCTTTTTTATTACAGTACATTATTATTAAATTAGCACATTCAGGTTTCAAATAAGTCTGTTGCCCAGATAAATAAAACAAAAGCATATCAGGCCCCAATTAATTGGATATTTAAGAGTGTTTTACTGGTTTATCCTTTTTATGCTTTTAAAGATACAACATATTAAGACATTTCTATTTTCTTTTTATATTTTCCCTACACACTGGTTAGTGACTACAGTAATAGTAAATTAAAGAAGTTAATAAAACTACTTATTGTAGTACTGTATATAAGCATACAGAGCAGTCTCGTAATATACTGTTTGTATATACTATACTGTGTTTATGGCTGAAACTTTCCATATGTCAGCTACTGTAGTCAAATGTTGACCTAATGGTGTTTCTTTGTTCCTAATCTTCTGTGTTGCCCTAAGTTGTTAGGAAAGTAAACATTTTGTGGCTAGTAAAGCAATTAAACCTTGTTTAAAGAAAAGTTCATTACCTCTGTTTGATGTTTGCTGTAAAGCCACAAACTGTTATTTAAGCATTAAGTACTGTTCACCTTCTTCATTAGGTTTTCTTGTGTGATCACTTAATTGATGTCACGCAAGTGTATCAATTAATACAGTGACTTCTGTGTGTCCTTAAACCATACAGGTTGTTTTGTTTTTACTTTCCTTTCACATTTCTTCATCTTTTTAAGCATCTAGTCAGCTTTGAACAGTTTCCCTTCATACAAGAATCAATTTGAATTTTGAGCTTAAAAGGGGTGGAATACACAGAATTTAAAATGAATGGAATTTTGCTTTCATATGATAAAAAAATAAATAATGTAGAGCACATTCTTAAAAAGGTGGAATGATCAGAAATTCCAACACTTAGACATACTCCAATAACACTGAAAAGAAGCTTCTTCTGGTAACACATTTCACCATATGTCTTCTGCACCCTTCATCATAGTATTTATGTGAGCTTAGGAGGCTGGGGGGGAGAATATTTTTATCCTTGCGTTTGAACAAGGGAAGCAAGGTTTCCAGAATTATGCATACTCTCATTTTCATTAATTATGCATCCTCAAGAAAAGGATGAGGATATCTTTTCTCAGTGAGCAGAAGGAAGGGCTCTCTGAGAGCTCCAATGATACCATTCCTTTACGCGTTTTAATCACCTTCTCAGAAAAGCACTGGATAAGACACTGGATTTTTTTCTATGATGTTAAGAGGAATCAGGAAAATGAAAGTTTCCACAGTATCTTGTAATCAGATGAACAGCCAGACTTTGTTGGTTTTCCTATGCATGGATCCCTAAAGTTAAAGAAATAGATGTTCTTTCATCTGTGGCAGTGTGCCAGACTGCAACATTGCCCTTCAGTAAATGAGATAAGGAAGAGAGATCAGTGAAAGGAAATGTATAACTTAAGCATCTTAAGCACCAAAAAAAACTTTTATTCCCAATTTTGTAAGGTATGTTTGGAATTTCATACACAGCTATTTTCTGGATTCTAATGTTAAAGCTTCTTAAGGTTGCATTGTTTGACACTTTAGATTCCTGTAGTAACCTTTTTATTGTATTTGTGGCACAAAGGCTTGGGCCATAATTTAAGAGAAATTCTTGTATATGCATCAAAGAAAATCAGTGAACCTTTTGGGTGCATCTGTCAAGAAAAACAGTGTAATGTTTCTTTGCAACTTGCAAGGGATGTTTCCAGATGAAAATAATTATATGGAGTTGGATTATTATAATATTATCCAAATCTGTTTTCTATGCACATAAGTAGACAGTAAACATCTGTGATAATTATCTTATTTATAAAGATTTTTTTCTTTTTATACAAAATAAAGTGGTAGTTCAATACAAAATAGTATTATATACTGTATGTGTTATATTCAACATCTATAAATAATCTTTAGTTAAAAACACTCTTTGCAATACTGAAGCTACAATAAGAATTTACTGAAGGGCTTTCACCAGCTTTGCAAATAAATCCTAAAGGTCATAAACCAGTGAAGTTGTTTATAGTTTGAAAATATTTACATATTACTTAAGTTCTTAAAAGGTTCTTCAGAAATATAAAGTGGTATTCAGTTTCTAATAGCCATGCCAAATAATTGGTAATCTTAACATATCACAAAGTTTTCATTATCTAGACCTAGGTCTTCTGTACTCAATTTTAAATAGACCCTGCTGGCTTCAGTGAGAAGCCACAGGACTTTTAAAGTTTTCATCCAAAAAAACTGCACAATTTCACAGTTTTCTGAGCAGCAATCAGCCAACACACAATTCACACTTATCTGTAAATATTTGCTAAAATGGTAAACATAAAAGCATGTGATTGGTTTTAGGTAATCGATAGAGACACCTTTCTCTATATTCAGTCCAGCCTCCCCTGTTCCCAAGTCACCAATACCAGCTTAATCTGCTTCCTGATGGAATTTAATGACCTGAAACATCTTTATGGCATGTCTAAGGTGCATGCACAGCTAAGATTTCAGAGGGTCCCTTCAACCCATATTTAAACAATTGACACTGGTGGTCGTCAGCAAAACAGGGTCTTGACCCTTCACACAGTGTTTTAAACCTTTCATTAACTATGGAAGATTACTGCTGGTTTTGTCACCTAATGTGACCTTAATGAAAGCCGTTTTCTAAACCTGCTGAGAGAAATCATTTTCTTCCTAGAGAGGTGAATTGAGTATATGGTGATTTCCAGCCACATCAGGCCTAGAAAGAGAAGCTAGATAGGTGCAGCATGGTGATTTGTAAAACAGAAACTCAAGCTGGGAGTTTGCACCAGGACTTACCATAGGAGCATAATAAACATTACTGATGAGAGGCCTATCTATTTTGGTTGCTAGTAGCTAAGTATTCCATCTATTTTTTTAACAAAGCCAGGAACATGGCAACTTGTTTCATATTGCCACAACCCTTTGTGTAAAAAACCCTTTGTGTGTAGTTTTCTTAGTTTTGAATGTACTTCGCCCAGTTTCCACTTGTGTTTTCTGGTTTGTGTTTCACTTTTGTCAATGACTTTGATTTGATTTTGAGACAAAAGGCTCATTATATACTTTTGCAGGGCTAAAATACATTTGTAAGTCATGTTCTAATTGGTCTATAGGCAAGTTAGGTAAAATTAACTTCAAAGTGTATTTGGATTTTTTTTTGTAATTGTTTCTTGTTAGTTATATAAACACTGGACGCTTATGAATGGATTCTGTACAGTATCTGATTTTAAAGTTTTGGACTTTTTTCCTGTCTTATTGTTAAAACTGGACAGCATGGTGATGTGATGCTTAACATCTCTGCCTCACAGTTCTTGGATCTTGGATGTGATTCTGAACCGGGGAACTTTCTGTGTACGGTATGCATGTTTTCCTGTGTCTGTGAGTTTTCTTTACTCGCATGGTACAGGTTAATTGGCAGCTCTGTACTGACCCACATATACATGTGTATGTGTGTCTGCAATGCACTGACAGGAGTCATCCTGTGCCTCCTGTATACATCCTGGGTCAACTGGTTTATGTCTGGCACATCACAACTCTATCCAATTAAAACGGTCATAGGAAATGGATGGATTGATGTTAAACCTCTATTAACATTCTGTGCTTTTCAGTGGTACTTTGTTAAGTCATGTACAATATCTGTGTTTACTTTGTGAGGATATGAGAGATAGGTGACCTGCTTTCTGCAGAATCTGCTACAGCATGAGTTATGATGCCTTGCATGTGTCATCAAAGTATCCAGTGTATTAGAAGAAAGAGTACTGGGAGTGCTTGTACATAACTTTTTCAGATCAGTAAAAAAAATATTCTATAAATCATTTTGAATTTCACAAAATATTTTAAAAGCACATTAATCAAAAACAGCTGCATGGGAAACTGCAGAGCACATCTACAAGTTCAGCTCAAAGTGAATTTCCTGTAAATGCCTTCAGAAGTGAGGTGAGGTGTTACATGAACCTTCTGTTGTCATTGTTATTGTGCTGAGTTGCACAGTTATAGAAATTTCAGCAGCAGGCTGATTATGGAGGAATTATCTGACATTAAGGAACAATTTCTGCCACAGCAGACCACCCCAACTAGACTTTACATCAGTATTAGTAGTTACATGTTTTTCAGATATTTTTTTCTTAACTCCGACATCCATCTTCTAACC